GGCCCTCGCCGAGGCCACGGCGGCCTAGCCCGGAGGAAGGCAACGCCTCGGCGAGGCCGCCGTGGCCTTGGCGAGGGCTCGCCTCGCCAGATCCGGCGAGGCCGGCCCTCGCGAGGCCACGGCGGCCTCGCCCGGAGGAAGGCGACGCCTCGGCGAGGCCGCCGTGACCTTGGCGAGGGCTCACCTCGCCAGATCCGACGAAGCCGGACCTCGCCGAGGCCACGACGGCCTCGCCCGGAGGAAGGCAACGCCTCGGTGAGGCCTCCGTGGCCTTGGCGAGGGCTCGCCTCGCCAGATCCGGCGAGGCCGGCCCTCGCCGAGGCCACGACTGCCTCGCCCGGTGGAAGGCGACGCCCGGCGAGGCTGGCCCTGGCCGGTGGCTGGCCTCTGGCCACCGGCCATGGTAGAAGAAGAAGAAGAAGAAAGAAAAGAAAAAAGAAAAGAAAGAAAAAAAATCAGAAAAAATATTTAAAAAATTGAATTATACACGTGGAAATGCCACGTGTCATTAAAATTTAAATATAAAAGCCACGTATTAAATTTGATCGGAATTTCTCGCCGTTGGCACTTAAGTGATCGTTTTTTCTCCGATTTGGCACTTAATACTTGTCTAGGTGCGCAGCCCATTGAATATGCCAGATTGGAAGTCATAACCTTAGCATATATAGGCAAGGAGAGAAGTGTATGGAGAAATCGCAAATCCAATGACCTTGGTTTGTCCATTCATACCATTCTGCTAACATTAGCCAGTGAGTCAACCAAAGTTTGAGTCCTGAGTCTTCGGAATTCAGTGCATCATTGATCAGCTCTTTGAGACAATTCATATAGATAAAATCAACAGAATCATTCCAAGAACAGTCTCATTCGCGTTAAGAACATGACTTCTCATCTCCGGTACTCATTGAATAATTCAAGAGCGATAGCTTCTGGGGCCGATACAATTCTTTTACTGCATCGGTTGATTTTATCTCGTCGTCAATAGTTTTAACAATCTTATTCTCCACTCCTGATGATCGGCTTTAATGTTCCCTCCTTATTGTGCTGTCATTCCTATGTGAGTCTACTGTGGTTCGAGGCAATACTTCCTCTAAGGAACCCTGCGTGTCAATCTAGGCTGCGACTTGGTATGGTTGCTTGCTGTAATTTTATATGCTTTTGTCTTGCAGAAGTGAAGAAGTTTGCTGGCATGCACGATAAACCTTCGGCCAGTTCACACGACCATCTCGATTCAAATTTCTCCCTACAAGAGGGGATTATCTCTACGACTTTGTTGCATTCGACGACAATCTGTTCCTAGTAGTGCAAACTTGTAATACGATGATTCTTCTCTCTTGCTTTTTGCAGCTTCTATATTATCAACAGAGATGAGCCTTTCTCCCCCCTCCTTTCTGGTTGAGTGAGAAACAAGAGAAGAGCTTCTTGAAGTTGCAAACATGACGCATTGAACTCGGTATACACCTTGGCCGTGCAAAACTGTTCTAGGATGAACTAATTATGCAGGTGAGGTGACCGGACTTGCTGCTCCGATCATCAGCACGTCCTACTGATTATCCAGTTTTCTCTTCCGGCTCCGTGGTATCTCGAAAGTTCTCCTACAGGTAGTTCAAGAACAATCATAGAAGTCTCTTCACTTCCTTCCTCTCTTCCCATTCTTTCTTCAGCATCAGACTAGATCGAATCCGTCTTGCTGAAAATGGGCGGTTGTATGTATGTAGATCGCCATGTTTTGACCATCAATATGAGCAAAGAGAAAATGTCATGAACCGCTTAAGCAAGCTATTCTCACCTTAAACTTAACTTGAATTCAGATCATTGAATACAGTGGGTCTCACGTGGATCCTATATGCATCACACCATATCTAATAGTCGACATTAGTTTAGTGTATTTACTAGGTTCACTCAATAACTTCCCTACTCGTTCCAACTAATGCACCATTTCAAATGATTCAATCAAGTCCTAAAGTATACCGAAAAGTGCAATTAAATCCTAAATCTTTCGGTTGGTTCAATTAAACTCCAAACATTTACTTGAGAATGCAATTAAGTCCTCAACATATACTGAAAATGGAAAATCTAAATGCCACATAGACGGCATTTGAGTGCCACATAGGCAACTTTAAATATTGTTCATCAAAATGACTTGATTACACTTTTTAAAAGGTCTAATACCCTAAAAAAGCTCGAACTTTAGCTCTTGTTCCAATTCTACCTTGTGTCTCATAAAAAACCTCAAACTTTAGGTTGTGTACCAATTCTACCCTAAACTTTTTTTTTCCTGTAAAAAACCTCCAACTTTAGGTTTAGTCCCAATTCTACCCTAATTTTTTTTATCTTATAAAAAACCCTCAACTTTAGGTCCAATACCCATTTTACCATAAATTTTTTTTTGTCTTATTAAAATAATCTAGCTTTAGGTACAGTTTCAATTTCACTTGTCTCATAAAAGATCACTAGCTTTTACTTGAGTTCTAAATCTGTTTTCCATTAACCCTCTATCAGAATTGCGCTCGTAGTGATTTTGCGCTTGGTGTTATTTCTCTTGCACTTGGGAATGTTCCATCTCTCGCGGTATCATAAAATACGTATCCTAGTTTAAAAGTAATTTATTGGCAATTTATGTAGTTTTATCTACTCTACAAAATGGATCAAGAGAAAAACATTGAGAAATAAATTTCTACACGAATGATATAGGTTATTTATAAGATGACTCTTGAAATGAGAAATAAGAAATCATCTAATTTTCAACAACGTAACATGGAAAAAAGAAACAGACTAATAATATAGGGAAATTGCACCAGAATTTATTTGATTAAAAAGTAAAAAGGTTACATAAGTCATAAATTATGTGAAATAAAGCTCATAATATAAATGTCCTGATTCAAAAACTAATTTATCTCAAATACATTTATAGGCAATCTGAAAATTTTAAAATTGAAGTAGAACGAAAGGTTCAAAAAAATGAAACATATAGCAGATTTGATACAAGTGATTTTTTCCGTCAGAATAAATTATATTAAGCTGAAATAAATAAATACACTTACTTCAACATTAGGATAATTTAAAACTAAACGATAAAAAATAGATATTTTTGAAAACTTAATTATTTATTCTCATATTTGTACAGTTCATTTATGTTAATTCCGTGCATGTACGGCTTGAACTATAGTCGTAGATTGCTCCTTGGAACTAACGGTGGAGATTTCACCATTTATGTCAGCTATAGATTGCTCGTTCGATCTAACAGTGGAGATTCCGCCATTTATGTACATTTATCGACGGTTGTAGTTCAAGCCGTATTTGTATAAATTAGGGCCTCCTCTCCTCATTTGTATCATTTCACAAATAATATAATATTCGGAGTTACGATTATTGTGAGTGTGAGCGAGTAAGGCTGACGATGAAGAAATTCCTAAGGTTGCACAGGTAAGAGATCCCTAAATCAACCAACCATGACAAGTTTCATTAAAGAAATCTACAAAGCAAGTTAAGTGAGGAAAAGAAAAAATATTACATTTTAAAATCCACTTAATTTGAAATGATTGACATAACTAAAAGAATTGATAAGAGACGATGATAAGTTTTAGACTTTAGCTAAGTTATTTGTTATTTAATAAAAATTTATCATAACTCACAATTCAAAGAAATTCAAAATAATGAATAAATAGTTATGACCTCGAACTGTGGCTAAGCCATTACCATAATTAAAACAAAGTCGATCATTAAAAAAAGTAAAAATATCATATTCTGAATGTAACTGGTACTTTTACTAATCCAATTTGCCTCATTTTGTATATCACAAATTTGTATCATCAACAATATACACGATTGGAAATATTTTTGCCGGCCAAATAAGTAAGGTGAACAAGACGGACTAACCAAATCGGGAACTGATCGGACCAGACCAGACTGGCCTCCTAGTTCCTAAAAGTGGAACCGGTGTCCGGACGGTCCGATTCCCGATTCCCTATTCCAAAAGAGAAATCGGACCGTTTGGATCAATTATTATTATTATTATTATTTTAAATGTAAACCTAATTAAAGTCCCTCATTTTAATTTTTATCTATAAAATGCACAGTAAATGCGATCCCGTGCTTGTAATTGGTCTTTCCATCACCTCGTACTCTCTCTGTCGCCTTTTTTTTTCCTTTTTTGGTGTCTATTATTGATAAAGCTTTGAACTTTTGTTCTCTTTTTTTTGGGTGTAGATGCTTTGGAGAATGGAAATGAAGGTGAATCCAAAGTTCATTGGCTCTTGTCATCATCTAAGGCAAAACTCATCATTGTATTATCTTCCCAATTTCATTGGACTGCTTCTGGTCCGATTCCCGATTCCTGAGTGGGACCAGACCAGATCGGGAATCGATTACATGAGATATATCAACTCCAGTATATGCAACGAGATATATCAACTCCAGTATATCCCAATTGCATAAGATATGTCAACTCCAGTAAAACAAGCAACTTTATTTTTATCAGCATCCGACTTTAATTCCAGCACCTAAGATAGGTGATAGTGTACCAAATTCCCAATTAAACTTAATTAGAAAGAATTCTTCCGGGTGAGATTGTATGTTTTAGTGCGCGATGATACACATATATGCAATAGAAAATCAGAGGAGATTGTGTAGGGCACTGTTGACACCTCGGAAGTCGGTCGCGACAGGCACGCTGGAGCTCCATACGTGCATGCAATGTCCCAGACACTGGTGATTCACTACACATATGCAATTAAGCATATTTATTTAGAAGCAGATACCAATTACAGAGATTCAATGACTTTGACCAAATTGAAAAAGGAAAACCTCTCCATTCTCACTTCTCACTCACTCTTTACCAGCCATCATGCTTTGCAATACAAAAAACAACTTGAGAAATAAACTATTCATTCAATGCACTGACCTCCAAGTCCTAATTATCAAGAATTCCTAAGAAATATCAAACAATTCTCATTTGACTCATCTTGTTAGTGAAGAAGCCATACTTACAGTCAACAGAATCATCATCCCTCTTGCTCATCCTCCTCCATAGGTGGAAGCTCGTTGAGGTCAATGACGAGCCTCTTGCAACCTGATGCCTGCGGGGCGCCATCACCACTTTCTCCACCGCATTCAGCATCTGCGCCGCCATCCGCTTCTTGAGTCGCGGCCGCGATTAAAGCGCTCTCATCAGCTTCTTGATCTGCTGGAGATCTTTCGTTATCAACTTCGTGATCATCTCCACTTTGGCTCTTCTTGATAGTGACCTTGCTGTGGCTGGACATGTGACTGCCCAAGGCTTGGTGAGTCGAGAATGATTTATTGCATATATTACACTTGAATCTCTGGGATGTCTTGGAAATCTTCCGGCTAACCGAATTTCTGGACGATTGCTTTCTTTTCTTCTTTTCCACTTCCTTTTCAAGGACTTCCTTTTCAACAAGAATACTGAGCTCAAGTTGATACTTTGTCACTTTGTATTCAACATCTTCACAATTCGACTCAGCTTCATGACTGTATCCTTTGTCGTCCTCGTCGCAACCTTGAAATTCATCCATCTTCCGCTTGCCTTTGCCATCTCTCACTGTTGTTGTATATGCCCGATCAGCTTGTGAAGACTCTCTCTTCACTTTCTTATCAGGTGGGGATGACTCCATCTTTTGCTTCTTGGACACCATTAGTCGAATTTTATCATCGTATTCGCCCTTAATCACCTCCTCCACATTGCAATTATTGCCTCGAGCCAACTTGCCTTCCGGGCCACTTGTGCTCGATGAATTGCTGAAAGCATGATTCCCTTTAGCAAGCAGCAATAGGATATCACTAGCTTCTAGTTCCACTTCGGTCGATACCCAATCCAACCCCGAAGGCGAACCCGAAGGCGAATCCAATGTGGATTGCAGCAATGCATTATCAGCGGGTGATGATATCTGGTAGATATCATCAGGATCGACACTAGCCCGATCACGAACCAGGCTGCGGGCGGACTCCAATATTGCGACCGGCATGCTGTGGTTCGACCTCGGGGATGAATTCCCCTCCACTCCCTGTCAGGGTGCGATCTCATGTGCCCAAACAAGGATTTCATAGAAGGGAAAGTCTTCCCACACATCACACAAGTAGCATCAGAATCATCCTTTTTAGACTTTGAGTCATGAAGATCGTCACGACTTTTCTTGAACTTGGCTTTATGAATTTTCTTGGCGAGAAACTGGTGATGTCTCTTGCTTGCTTGTGTGTGAACCCTCTTGTGCCCTCCTAACCCTTTTCCTGAACTAAACCTTTTATTGCAGAAATCACAAACATAATCTTTCCTGATTTGAAGGGTCTCTAATTGTTCGTCGCCGTGCATGCCGGTTTCTTCACCGTTAGACGGATTGGACGCCGTTGGAAGTTTAAGCTTTATGTACAATCTCCCTTTCGTAATATCGAAAGGCTTGTTCTCTCCGCCTTCATTGTCGTGATACTCAGGACAAAACTCAGTCTCTCGATCTTCATCCATTGATAGAAAAACGTAACTAAAAAGAGAAAAAATAAAAGTGTAAAAGACTTGTAACTAGAACAAAAGGTTGATATCATGAGGACACAATGAGCAGGTTAAAAAAAACTACTTGAGATATACTAAACAGCAAGACAATGAGGCATATAGATCAAGAGTACGTAGATTAGCCGAACCGAAAAGTTTGAAACACACCTGATCGAGGGTTGATCTTTTTTGTGACTGAGCTGATAAGAAGAAGAAGAGAGCAGGAAGAGAAGATGAAGAGCGAAGAGGTGTGATCAGAGCCGGAAAAAAAGAGAAGAAGTGGAAGAGCTAAAGAGAGGAGAAAGAATCAAGTCTGGATTCTTTTATTGTGGAGGATAAGTATTGTCTAACTGCTTCTAAGGAAAATTTATTTATGACGTTCAACTCCTATCTTTCAATAAATGATTTTTTTAACTAAAAAAAACCTCTCTTTCTTAACTTTTCGGTAGCTTCATCTTTCATAGGTAAGATCAAATTTTTCTCTCTTTTTGGAACGAAGTTGCAGGGAAAGAGGATGGATTTTGAATAAAAAATTTCCAACAATTTTCGCTCGAACTACATATCTATACAATGGAAACATACTGATTTTTTGTGTTTGAATTTAGATTTTGATATCTATTAATCTCCCAAGATCTCTCTAGAAATAAAATTTCGAGATTTGTTTTCTTAAGTGCATTTTATGTGGTGGGATATATTTGGAAACAAAATCTGGTCAACGAGATTCTAGGGTTTCCTAAATGCCTATTTCCTATTAATCAGAATATTGTCTAATCTGCTTGAAATGAGTTTTAACTAAACACTGTAAGTCATCAGGGTGGAACAGGCAATACATGGAAATATAAGTGAGATGATAAATGAGATTGACCTTATAAATGGAATGTAGACATAATGTTGACTGGAGTGACCTTTTGACTACACCGGTTCAAAGTCCATCTATGGTCATAATTTCAGTTAATAGTCAGGCCGATGTGGGGAAGTGTACCATTAAGATCGTTTGGGGAGGTGGAGAAGTCGAGATATGTAATAGTTTGATCCGAATATCAACTTATCTCTAAACTAGGGTTCCGTTTATTCCGCGAAAAATGAACGATTTGGAATATATATATTTTAAAAACAATAGCTTATATCGTGTGAAATAATCAATAATGAAAAATATTTTCATTGTCGACATCAATCTATATTTAAATATTTTCGTGGACGATGAAAATAATTTTCGTTCATTTGATTTTGTAAGCCATACAAGTGAGCATTTTTATGAAAATATTTTATAAATCATTCATTTTCTGTGAAACAAATGCACCCTAGAGAAATAAAAAAAAGCTAGCTAAATGCCTCACTAGATAGTAAATTCTATGAAAAGCATTTCAGCCTTTTCGACAAGAGTTGAATTTTTTTTATTTCCTTTTCTGGCCAATAAAGATATTAGTTTTTTAAGCAATTCGATTTTCACTTTTTTAAAAATAAATATTTCATTCATATCTCAAGATATCACGATGATACATAAGAGGTTCAAAACAAAGCAAATCCCAAACAATATGGACCAATAAATTGCAAACTCTATCATAGCAATTTTCACTTATATCGACCCTTTATTAGGGCAAACTTTTTTTTCACGAGCAAAAGCGATTTATTTTTTATATAATTTCATGAGCAATTGAATAGTAGGAAAAAAAGTAATAGCATATAAAAACACTTTCATTTCAACCAAACAAGAGAAGAAAGAGAGAGTACTTGCAATTTGCAGAGACGGTAGAGCAGGAATCAAATATGTGAAATTTACTTTTACTAAGAGAAGTTCCACTAGGAACCAAAATCAAATATGCAAAAATGTATTTTTCAAAAGGGATAAGATAATATTTCTATCCCAGGAGATAATTGTATTTCACAAAAGAAAAGAGAAAAAGTTTTTGTAATCTTAGTTAAAAAGAAAGCTTTCATCACTACTCTCAACATAATAGATTATTTCAAAATCAAATTTTGCGTGACAAGATTTATCTCCTCAATATATTCAAATGGGAGAGCAAGAAATCAATACATAAATATAGATTACACATTTTCGAGACGAGAATAAGTTTGATCAAACTGAATAAGTAAATATAATCTCACAAGCAACCCCACTTATCTTTAACCCAAAGCCCTTTGCAAAAATGTTTTTGCCAACTTTAACCCAAAGTTACTTTGCAAAGAAATTTTTACCAAATGTAATTTGCATTTCGCCCAAAAAGCTTTAGGCTTTCGGCTTTTGCATTTTCGCAAAGCCCATTTCCAAAGCCGAAACAAACGCATCCTAAATCAAATTGATATCAGCAATTCCAAGCCTTATCTAGTCCAGCTTCTGGTTTCAATTGGATATAGAAAAAATAAGTCCAAAAAGAATGTTTCATGTTTCGATGAAGAAATAATAGTCATCATACGCACCAGAGCTCTAGGTAAACTAAAACTTCACCAAATATATTACAAGCTTAGCTCAAAGTAAGAGATTCAGTCAGCAGTTCTTATCAACCGACGATAAAGCCGAAAACCGAGAGCGACACCACATGCACGACGTCTACATCGACAAAATAAGAGACTCCTTAGTGACAGACGTGCATAGGCGTGCGAAGGTACTCATACATATACTACCAAAAGGATGAATGTCCAACGAGCCCAAGAAAAGGAAACGAGCGCAAGAATTGTTTTCCCTAGAACATGGATTGCCTATGCCTAGCTAGACTAACCTAGGAGAGCCTAAACTTTGCCGATGTTCAAACCCTGAGACGATCGGTATTCCTGCATCTCGGACTTGTACCTCTCCTTGTCCCTCACGCCTTTCTCCTGATACACCTGCGGTGACAGAAGGAAAAGCTTAGAGACAATGACTAGAGCAAGTGATCCACTTCATTAGCAGCTGGAGAAAGCATGCGCAAGACACATCTCATGTTTACATGCTTACTTCATCGTCATGCACGTGTTTGACAAAAAATTTTCACAAACAAAACACCGTCAGTGCAACAAAAATTATGCATTTAAAGTGGTTAGTGTAGACGCTAAATGCGCATAATTGATCCGGTGCCACTGCTGTAAGGCAAGCCTTTTCTCTTTACTACTCTGCGGTAGAAGTTTTCTCTAATAAACATCAGAAACATACATGTATCTTGATATCCACATATACCGCACAAGCATCGTTCTATATACATATCCACATAATACTCATAAAAAGCACATGTTATGCTGCAACTCAGTCGCCAAACAGCCAGGACCACAGTCATTCCCAACTTGCTAACTGTAGAGAGAAGGAAAATATACTGCAGGAGTGATAGTCAGACATCAAATTGCCCTGTCCATGTGCATTTGATAATGTCTTTAGGTGCATCTAGCTGTGAATGCCGTGTGCTCAACCAAAAATAATAAAAGGTTGATGTTACAGGACACCTGTCACAACTAGCTTTTGGTATATAGATGTAATTTTCTTGTTCCAATAAGACAATCATTTGCCAAATGACCAGAGACAGTAGAAATTGAAAGGAAAGGGACAACCGTATGGCATAGCAAAATCAGAAAAAAGAGGAAGACCAAAAAGGAAAATCTGAGGCCTCCAGAACAATTTCAATCATCCAACTAAAACCTCATCATAAGCATCTATTTTAGGATGTTGCCAGCACATCTTTAAGATGTATCCACGTAATATTCCTCTTTAGAAAGTTATCGCATAACACGCAGGCACACACACGGAGCAAACGACAGGAAGGAAAGGGAAAGGGATGCATCGTAATAAATACAGTGTATTAATGTACCTGCTTTTCAGCCTCTGTAAGATTATTCCAAAGATATCCAATCTTCTTGCTGATGGCTCTCTCACGACCATAGTACTGAGGCTTTAGCCTCGCATAATGCTCAGCAAAGAAGAAATTGTAACCACTCCTGTTGGACTTGGGGCGAAAAGGGTCGCGTAATTTCATCCGCGCTCTTCTCCGTTTCCGGCGAGTAGGAATTTCTGAAGGAAGAGCACTCTGAGACATGTGCAGGACCTGAGGAATATGATACAGGACCCCTTTCAGTTCATGATTACCCAAATTCACCGTAACGAGGTACCCGTTATCGAATTTCCCATCGATGAACCCAGTTACAGAAGAGCCAGGATGCAGTTTCGCATTTCCTGCACACAAAAGGGTCACCACATCATCACCTGGCTAAACAAGTACAGCTGCTTAGAAAATGTAACCAAATTACCGAGAGAAGAGAAAGAAATGTTTGTGCGCCTCGAGTGAAGTTATGTAACACAAAACCACGAAGACCAAAAATAAGTTCAACAGCAGAAGGGGGAGAAATTAATTTTAACAAAGAGTCTCAATACAAAGTGCCTCCATAGCTCTTATTGAATATGCTTAATATATCTGATTTTCAAAAACTGATTGTGTATATCATGAGGACAAACAGTGCCTTACAAATTGCAATATTTCAAAGCTTGAGTTGCTTAACGAGTGTCCCGCATCACTTTTTAATAAAATCCTTTTTCCAAATATGCCAGAACCCTAGTTGAGGAATCAACAAGCAACGCAACCAGCTAATCTTCTCATTGTTATTAGGCTCTTGAAGAAAGAGCTACTCCGCACAGGCTATACTACCAAACTAATGAAACTTCCAGGCTGATGATATGTATCATGCTTATCTGGCATAAGAGCATCAGACCAAAGGAAATAACCTAAAAATTCGCTGACGTTCAGCTCGCAGCAACACTGGCATTATATTTCCCAATACACATGATTAATTTGCATAAGAGCATAAAAAAGGCAAGTAAGAATGACCGTAAACCTAATCCATGTCCAGGTCAGCAGCAAAACTTCATAAAGCATAAACCTCACCTGTGATTTTAAGCTCCAAAAGACTGTTCGATGCAGCAATTTAGACAATCTAATTCAATCTCGCCATGCCATCTTGATAGTTCAAAATGCCCAAGATATGTATGTTGCTCAAAAGGAGAAACTCACAGGTCTCTGACTCTTTCTTGACCAGAAAAGGAAAGTAAACAGATTTTTTGGTGATAAGAACTTCGGCAAAAATTTTTCTTCACGGACTACACATAAGATTCTTCTGTTAATAACCTAGCTGCTCCTACTTCCTACCTTTATTAATTTGTTTATTCCTTTTTCATAGTACTTTTGCCTTCACTCACACCACACTTTCCTCCTGACTGCTACATAGCATGCTGTCTTCCTTTCAATTAGTCAGTCCTTATCAACCAATTGATAAGCACGATATAATCAAAATCAAGCGATCATCTCAAAAAACCAAAGCTCGTACCGTGACTAGATATGAAGCTCGTGGACGCTCCATTGTTCTGGACCACTGACCCCTCGACCTCATTTCCACTTTCAGGATCTGCATGAATGTATGCACAATAATTTGATTCACAACCTTTCAGAAATGACATTCTAAAATAAGTGAAAAATCACTATTTACAATAGAAAGCACCTGCAGCCGAAAGTGAAGGGGCTTGTCTGTGGAAGTAATAGACCTGCTCAAAGTGATAAAGCAATGACATATAGTACTTTCGCAAAACAAATGATGCACTGGTTATTGTCGTTGGGAAGTTGAACACCACAATCACTTCCTTCCATTTACGATCTTTGATCACCTGTTAAAAGTTAACGAAATTAGGGCTAATACATCTAGCCACTGGTGGCACACTCCAAAACAAGATCAAATAAAGTCATCAACTGAAAGGGAACATCTTGTGAGTCATGTATCCAAGTACTTTCAAAAAGGTTCTAGCTTAAGATAATGCCACTCAATCATAACAAAATATCAAAAGCAAGAACGAATTACTCATAATTAATTGCTGAATGTGCTTAGACTTTCAAGAAATAAATGAAAGCTGCCTAAGGTCCAAGAACAGGTGCCCTAGTAGTTTCCAATTGAAATATTAAGTTTCAAATCATGCAATACTTGGGAGAAGGAAACAAGCATAGAATCCATACCTTTTCAAGACCACCACGTGATGTCACCTCCACAAAAAGGAGATGCAGATCAAGAGCCTTGCCTCCAACCGTAGGAACCCTGTGTGAATTATAATATGAAATTGTTTTGCCTTCTCTAATGATGTAGAAATTTATGTATCACAAGATCTATGAAAATCAAATAAAAGGGTAAAGAGAATCACAAGAAGGCGATCATGATAATAGTAAGCCATTCGATGGGCTAATGATTTCATTAGTATATTCTCCACCGTGGAAAAAGCTCTCTTAAAGCAGTACCAGAGCAGACTTGCAATCTATAGCGCTTAACATTATCATACTATTACATATCGGACGCTTCGTATTAGGAATCTTTTAAGGAAATTGCAACGGAAACTCGCTGTTAACATTCATGGTCTGATCATAAGCAAAGATAATCCCCACACAAGATATCGGGTGAGATGTTGAGCTAGGGAAAGGTATTTGGATAAACAGATCAGCCTGAAATGGAACAAAAGCTCCATTCAGTATGTATCCGAAAGCGCTTAGACGGCAAATCATGATGACCATGTACTCAAGGAATTACCAAACACTACCCCAGATCCACTTATAGAGTTAGCCACGTAAAGGTAACATTTACGCACATTGACATCATCCACACGAGCATAAAAGAACTTCCATTCGCAGATTAAATTAATGATACCGCCATATGGATATCATAGCCTTCTTATTCATCACTTCGACAGTTGCACCAGTTAACAGACAATCAAATCAAGTTCCCAAGTCGCCAGTGAAAAGACTATTCTCAAAATGGCAATTGCTCAACCGGGATACACAAAAACACACACACAAATACACAAAAAAGGTAAAGACAACTAACCTGCAAGGAGTTGTGAGAGCTTTATCATATGTCAGTCAGATTGCAGACAATATTTATTAGAATCCGAAATAGAAACCGCGCTTTGTGAATTGCCAAGATAGAAATCACCAAGACAACGGAAACAAAAACTACATGCAAAATAAATCTATCTAAGACCAACCCTCGTGTCTTTCACAACCAAAATCTCTCTCTCAGCCACCATGGCAAATCAGCATGCAAGCACCATCTCTGAGTGCTTAAATCCGACGCTAATTTTCAAACTGAGAAAAAGGGTACAAACTGAACCAGCCATAAACCAAAACCCAGAAACACAAGCACGAAAAAAACAGAGTGAACCGGTAAACATCGAGCAGAGAGACAAAAATCCGCGAGACCCGCACTCAAATATCAAGACCCAGAACAGCAAACCAATTTGTTCTCCGAAAACTCGAAAAACTCACATGAATTTGGTGCCAAAAGATTGGTGGAAAGCCTCGAGCTTTTCCCAGAAAAGCTCCGAGCTTTGCACGACCTCCTCGTACTGGGCCGTCGCAGGAGGGTAAGCGTTGGAGCCTGACGAAACCGAGAGGTGCCCATTTGCGCTCTCAGGGAGAGGTTGATTTTGGGGCGATATAACCATAGCCATGGACATGGTTTTGGTAGGGGGGGTTAAACAGGACGAAAGATTGAAAGGGTTTTTTTTTTTTTTTTCCTTTCTTCCTTGCCCTCCCTCTGTGAAAAAAATTGAAAAGTCACACAGGCCTCCTGACCACCTAAGTAAAGATTCGTTCTTTGTGCCCACCAAAGTAAATAAAAATCAAAACTTTACTGCAGAAATGGGTAAGACAAGATCTGATTTCAGGAATAAGGGGGGTGAACCGTGCTGCCGAGGCAGAGGAAATTTGGGGTGAGTTAGGGCAATGGGTGGACGAAAAGAAAGTGACAAAGTATGATGGGATGATTGATTTTTTGGAATGAGGCTGAGGATAGGTATGATTTACATATATATACAGGGGGGAGGAGCATAGAGATTAGCGAAATCTTAAAGGTAAGATGAATTGGACGGTGATGATATTTTTTGGTCAGCCCACCGTTTTAAGCAAGCTTTTTATATTCTTCCTCCTTTACATCTAAGTAAATCCTTCATTGACTAATCTTTTGTCCATTTTCTATAATTGGCGACTCCATATTACACCTAGTAATTTTTTTCCCTTTTTACTCGGTCCATCGTTTATCGAATTACCCCGTGTTGCATTAACTCTACTCGATCGATCCCTAACTCCGATGTCGGTATTGGAAAATCTACGTGAAATTCCTTTTGCTGTGAACTCGCTTTTAAAGAAGTTGATTGTTGATTTTTTAAGGACTCGTGCTATTTCCGTCCTCTATTGGTTCCTGACACCCCTATATCACATTGATATGACTACGTTATCCATTGCTGGTTTCACCTTCGATTTAAGATTATTTCTTACATTTTTTCTTCTTTTTCTTTTGCTTCAATTTTATTAAAAGACAAAACTACCTGCATCCCTTTCAAACAACGTTTTTCCACTCTAGCCGCACTCGTTACATTTCAACGTTTCATTCATGTTTGTCTTCTTCTAAACTTGTCCCGCCAATTATTAACTTATTTCCCTAGAGAATCCTCATGATCATGAATTTTTTGACTTCGATTTTCGAAACAAATTTTCGAGAATTTACTCAAAGATTGAATATTGTGGTTGATGAATGCATTATACGCAATATACTATCTTTCATTGTTTTGTTTTTGGTAGTGTGGTCACTACGGAAGACAATATTGAAGAGTATCTGCATTGCTTAAATGTATCAATTGATGATGAAACTGCAAATAGAGAACAACAATCAATCATGTCAACAAGTTCATTTGGAGCTTATTGCACTAGATATTGAAACTTCTTCCTTGACATATATGTGTTTTAACTGAATAATGACTCTTTTATTGATGCAATTGAAGACTTTTATCGTCTAATCTAGGAAAAAAAATTCGAGAGAGTAACCTTTTTTAGGGGAGCGTGGCAGTTGAATGAACAATATCTTTTGTTAAGTTGCATACGCAACTTGCTATTATTGCAATGGATAATTTTCTTTTCATTGATGATTCTATGAAAATTTTGATGTAATTTAGAATTGAAAAAAAAATGTGTTTGCAAGTGGTTTGAATGGGCTGTCTTATAATGCCATTACAATTGCCATAATTTATTGTCAATAGCTGATTATAGATTTAATCACGGTAAAGATAGTATTCTATATAATAATGTTTTAGTGAGCATTTTCTTTTGCATTTGCATGATAATAATGGATGTTTAGAATTTTTTTATGTACTGAACTTTGTCATATTTTTAATTTTTTTTGAAAGTATCTTTTAAAACACACAGACTATAACGTAATGACATATATTAAAGTTATAATTAAACGAAATGTGTAGTAAAACTGGTAGATAGAATCTTTTCACTCTTACTTGTGCTTAGGTTATTTTTAAAACTTATTAATTTCTAGTACTAAAAAAGAGAAATAGACAACCCATTAACACAATATTTAGTTAGCTATCTATCAAATAAACTATTTTTTGGAAAAGAGGAACACCAATTTTGTTCCAAATGGAGAAAGTAGAGGAATAAATCAAAAAATGAAGAAAAAAAGGCAAGAAACAATCTTAAATCAAGGGCTCCACATTTGATCTTAATAAATGTTATTTGATAGGAGCATGAATAGTTTGTCTTTAATAAAATTGAAACAAAAGAGAAAGAAGAAAAAAAAAGGTAAGAAATCATCTTAAATTAAAAGTAGAACTCGTAAGGGATAATGTAGCAAATTCAATGTCAATGGGGTGATAGGAGCTAATAACCGGGGTGGAAATAGCGCGAGCCTTTATTAATATACAGGAGGACAAACTTATCTGACACAACAATAGGGGTGATCAATAGGTAAATCCAAGCCTGGCCAGACCTTCAAATCGGGCCTAAAATAACGCTCAAGCCCGTCCATCCCCATAACATCAATGTGGGTCCAGCTCGAAACTAATCGGGGTGGGCCTTATATATGAAAAATTTATTATTCTCATTGAATCTGTTTATTGCTCGTTAGATGTTTTGATTGCCCCGTGCAATGTAATTTCTTTATTCTATTCCGATTGTATCTACAAATCCTGACTTTTTGCGGGTTGCTATAAAGTATAGGCCCTTGCGGCACAGGCGGCCTTGGGTGGGCACATGGGTTGCTAAGCCCATGATCAATTCTACTTAGCACTAATTATTATGTCCGATTTGTGTGACACTGATTATGATAATGAATGTTACCGTAAGGTGGGGAAGGAAAACGTCATATGTATTGCACATAGCGCACATGTGTAAACGCATCAGATACATTTGAGGTGTCTTTGATAATCATATTGACAATCGTCATTTTGAGGCACTTAAAGTCATTAACTGTGTTTAGCAACATTTAACTACACTCCACTTAATTGATTAATTCAAGTGGTTACTTAATTTATTTGTTCACTTTAAGTATTTTATTGACAATTGGAGTTTACCAATTATCTTGCAAAATAACCAATTACATCTACAATTCCGTAAATATTGTTAACATTTATTGTTTAAAATTTATCTACTATCAAGCAACTTTTGGGATGCTAGTTATCAAAGGGAGCTCTTTAGAAACAATATCAGCAAAATACTTTTACTTTTAACAGATGTATGTTGTCAATACTGTACTAGTTGTAGCTAGCCATCAGTCTTGCTGCATATATATACACCATGAATGGCCTAGGATCTAGGGATTATAAATAGATTAGAAAGAGTATCGACTTAATCTAAACGTTTACGTTTATTAGGATTGGTTTTGTTGATCATATGAAAGAAGTCTATAGGTTCAATGTCTCTGACATAATCGTAAAAATCAGAAAGTTCTACAAAGATTTGTACAATATCGTAAAATAATTCTAAAGTAAGAGTGATTATATATAAAAATCTTAATAAATAAAGAAACGATTTATAAATAAAAATTAGGCTAAATAAAAAGATGAGCATTATAACTTATATAAAGACCATAAGCAACATATAGAATTAGAAGTATGACTACTAAACCAACCATGTAGGTGGTAAGGGCAAAACGGTAAGAAGAAGTAAATTGCCTTAAAATAAAAGACAGACCAACCACATGCGATTCAATCTGTCAATTGTGGGGTATGTAAACTAAATTGCTTTAAAGCAAATTGCAATTAAGTAAAGATTACTGATATAAAAACAGTATCGAAAGATTACAACTACGAATATTAAAGGTACAAGTACGAAATTAAATAAAACCCTTTGTATTCTCATATCGTGAGTAAGATCTAGAACATAAGGTGATACAGGGATGCTATGAAACTTACTGAATATTCAAGAGGTATCAAAAGTTCTTGAGATGTATGATCTCTTATTTCTTCAAAAGAGAATCGAGGTGAGAGATGGAGAGATCAAAGGATTGAAATGAGAGGAGGAGAAATTGTCAGTAGAAAATTCGGTATGCCTTTCCAATGGATGGAGTGGGATTATATAAGCCAATGGGCTACTGTAGAAAAGTTTCACGGGTACAATAAAAGGTGAATAGTGACCTGGGGTGGACATAACTATGAAAGCATATGGCAAAAGTTAAAAAACATATGAAAAGTGGACAAAAGCTTTTCGGTGCCTTTGTCTTGTTCCTTCAAAATCTGGACAAAGATTCCGGAGGGTCTTCTTCTTCTTCTTCTTCACTTGTCCTCATGAGGTGCTTGGTATGCCTGAAATGCCATAACGGTCATCTTCATTTGAATTCCCACTATAGTGAGATTGTGAAGAGCTCGAGTCTTCTAGTTGAAAAAGGGATTGTTTCAGCATTCCTACTAGTTATTGATGAGACGTAGCAGATGCCAATTTTGACAAAAAAACCCTTTGTCATGGAGAAATAGGGTGACATTATCATAATTAATCGGGGTGGATCCTCTAGAAATTAGCTATTCTGAAACGACCTGTTCAGTAACTCTATCCCAGAATTTAAAACCATCCCACCATTTAACTTTGAATCTTCTGATTAAAATGGGGATGTCTGTTTCTATAGCTTTTCTATAATCAAAACTCCAACCAAGTACCCATGATACTCCAAAGTAATAGAAAAGGAGCATCAATTTAGGAAATTTTTTTTCATATGGAAGGAGAGTGAATTGGTTGGTAAATATTTCATAACTGGTTTGGATTTTAGGATGAAGGATTTCTTCAATGGATCCAAGATGGTCCCACCATTTGATAAACCAGCAAGGAACTTGTTGAATATCAAAATTTTCGAAGAAGAACAGCCAAGTATGGGAATTGTTGGCATTCTTTCTCCAAAATGTATTATACCAAGCGTGTTGGTAATCAAAATAAGAATAAGAGGATCTATATGGTACGGGTTCAGTCATTTTGTTGTCAAATTTCTTCAAGGTTATAGGATATGGTTTCCATTGGGAAGAGTGGATGACCCTGTGGATCCTTGTAGTGGAATAATTTATACGACTCTTATCAGAAAAATGCTTGAAAGTGACAAATTTTCTCATAAAATTCCATTGTTTTATAAGGATCATAAGTAGTGTAATTAAACTTATCAGAAAACATGTTCTTTGCAAATATATTTGGATTTTCATGATAAAATTCATTTTCAACACTACATATATTTTGGAATATTGTTTTGGCAAAGAATTTTGATTTTGGAGGGGTTGCCTAAGTTGGCTGAATAACCACCTCGCTAGAAATTCTTTTTCCTATTGCCTTTTGACTGGCTATAGGAGAGAGAGAAGAATTGGCACTTACCATGGTTATTGAAGGTTGTGGTTGGTTATTGAAGGCCTTTTGAAGAAGTTGTAATGCTTCTTCGTGAGATATTTTAGAGATATCAAAAGGGGTATTTGTGGATAGAGAAGCAGGTTCCTTTTAACCTGGTTAGAAATAGTGGTAATATTCAAAGATG